CCTCCCAAGTTGCTAGGATTACAGGAATATGTGTGCCACTGTGCCTGTCATGAGCTTTCCATTTTATGGTGTCATCTTAGAGGTGCTTGGTCTCCCCAGGACTGTTATATATACATAATGAATCAGCTATCTTGGAGAGCTCTGAAAGGAGATGGAAAGTTATTGGCACAGTGGTCCCAAGGTTGCTGCCACAAGAGGGCCTGCACTCTCCAAGCCATGACTCATACATGTCCATGTCATACTTTTCTCCCTTGCCAAAAATTAAAAACATTTTTTAAAAGATGACAAATACCATGAAAAGGTTCACAACCTAATTTCTACCACTCAAGAATTTTACACATTTTCTGTCCTTCCTACCCAGCCCCAAACCACTGGGTGCTTGACATTTCTCAGTGCATATCAGAAAACAGATGGTGAGTCTTCTGGAGAGAAGGGCATGGTATTCTAACTGCAGTACTATTAAAGAGTGAGGCAGTTAACATTGAAGGGGACTCACATTTCTGTGGCCATGGATCACTTCTAAAGCTTAACTGACTTCAATTAAGAAGGTTATAATGTAATATTCATAAAAACTAAAAAAGAAGGTATATTTCATAATAAGGAAGGCTTTATAAGTCATCACCAAATATTGGATAAAACCAACAGAATGAAAAGTTGCCAGCCAGTTGTCGAATGCTTACACTTTATTCTTTTTTTCTTCTAACTGTATTGAAGAAACACAGATGGACTCTAAAGTGAGAGTCATATTCTATTATATAGTTTCATTTATGTTGAATCAATCAATAAAAGGCAAATATATTACAGAATTAAATACTTGAGAGGGTCCCAAGGAATATATTTATGAATACAAATAAAATTTTATAAAAAAGTTTAAGTGAAGAATACAGACACAATTTCAGTTTTGTGAACCGTATACCTTTGAAAAGACAAATGGATGTCTGGCGAGTTGTGTGTATCAGTTACTTAGGTTCCAGGTACATATCTGAAACTCCCTCTCTGTCTACAAACCTATCCAACCTTTGCAGATGATGGAATCATGGCAACATGTGATAGAAGCCATCATCAACTTACACATTCTATAGGGCTGCCATCAGGATATTTTATTTTACTAATTTTTTTTACACACTTTATTAAGCACAACCCATGGAAAATGAGTTACCTGGCTACCGTGAAGATCACTCTTCCCAATGTACTGAAAGATGTTCAGGTTACTTCTCCTTAGAATGCCAGAACCGGAGTAAAGAATGTCAAGGCTGTAGGTAGACGCGGCACGGGGACTACCTAATGACAAAGCAACCATGCATCTTAGCAACAGTGCCAGCAATGCCAACCTGGGGATGGGCATCGAGGAGGAGAACCCCTTTTTTGGGTTACGTACGTTCTATGTAGCCGGTATAGGCAGAAGAGGATCCACTCTTGGAGAAACGGTCATAATTGTGAGTGGCCATCTCCTTGAGAACTCGACGGACCATTTTGCTGCAACATGTAAGAAGAAAAAGCTGCACATTCATTGTAATGGCTGTTTCCCAAGTCAAATCAGGAAAGAAAGAGAATCCTTAGAGGAAAAAGGAGGGGGCTGAATTTTTCCTTATGCCACTCCAAGACTGGGAGAGGTGCCAGCTGGACATCAGCATCAAGATTAGGGCTTTCCCCTTCATTACTCAGATATCTGAAAATTTCATTTGGTATTAAAATGACAGCAAGGGCAAGGCTTCCCAGCTATGATGTGGCTTCAGCTGACAGTGGACACAGAGTGAAAAACACGTGCTATTTGAGTCATCACCGTTCTGCTGTTAAATTGTCCATAAGTTTAAGGAAAACTGTACCAAACTAAGGTTAGCTGCACATTGTGTCTTTAACATTTTTCTTTAATGTTATCTTTGGCTCATGATATATAACAGCAAGTTCCCAGGATTTCTTCTATATCTCTGGGTAGTGTTCAGTTACAGACACAGCTCAATAAAACCCATAAAGGAACGGTGGTCTCCAGGTCTTCCTTCTTACTCCATGCCTCTGTCTTTTCTATGTAATTAGTATTGAGATGTTTTCTCTCTCTTTTTTTTTAAACCATGTAACACTAATAATATCAGCAGTAATAAAATTACAACATGGTGAACATCAAAATAATCAACCAAAGTAAACTGGACCTAGAACTAAGGTAGAAAATTTTTGAGAGGGGAAAATGGCCCAACTTTATATGCCCTCCGTCCTCCAGTATCACAAGATTATAAGATTTCATCTTAGAGGAGCAAAGATGAGGAGGGTCATAATAGTGCCCCTAAAATGCAAAGGGTATTCATGTGGCTGAATGATTGATTATACATGCTTTGCTTAGCTCCAGAGATAAAACCGGGGCCAATGGGAAGACTTCAGTTCAGACAGAGCCATGGGCAGAGTCTGAAGAATGAAATAGGTTTCCTCAAAGGTGATGAGTTTTCTTGGCCACCAGAGAGGAGCAGTTGAAGTCTGAATACCACAGGTCCCTACACTGCAAAGAGACACCAAACAAGGTGGCCTTTAATGTCCATCTTGGTCCTAAGAATCTGACCCCACAATGTTGGTGATTGCTTCATGCCATTTCCTAAGCTGAGCTCTTCCCCCATCTTTTTCCATATTCTGATTGCCTCCTCTTTTCCAACCCTAAATTATTAGACTCCCAAGACATCGTCAGCAAACACACCCGAGACCTCCTCCACAAAGCCTCAGAAAAGCAACCAGGGTGTAGAAAGAGAATCAAATCCCCGTTCACATGGAAATACATGGCTGCCCATAGTCTTGGCTGCCTCCCCGTCTCCCTCCCCTGCTCACTGGCTCCTTTCCTTTCCTGTTGTCTTGCTCTTCTCTCGGGTCTTCTCACCTCCCCTGTTTCTTGTACTTTCTCTCTTCTTGTCTCTTTTTCTTTCCATCTTTTACTTTCTTCTTGTTAAATTTCTTTTTCTTTATTTCCCACCCTCCCCCATCTGTTTTCCTCTCCTTGGGGGACTCTTAAAGTTCGTTCTTTCTTGGGGGTGCTATTCTGCGGGGACCTCAGGGCAAATGGGAATTCCTTCTCTAGACCTCTGATTCCAGTGAGAAGGAGCTTCAGGGGAGTCACCCTGGAGAGTGGCATGGATGAATTTGGGAAGAAAGACTTGGGGCCTGGAAGGAGGTGAGTCTGGCGAGAGTAATTGAAAGCAGTGAGGTCTGCTGATTCAGACCTTTGAATGGACCAGAAATGCAGGCCATGCCTAAAGTTTTCAACTGTAATGGCAATTAAATTGGTCATTCATTGGAACTATGATAAATGAGGATTCAAAGATTTCTCACATTCGGAAAATTAAGATGAATGATAATTCGGTGAGAACTTAACACCATTTTGCTGTGCTACCTACAAAAAGAGTCCTGCAATTAGGTTTTAAAACATTACTAACATATGGCCACATGTATTTAACAGCCTAAACAGGATAACCAAAGTCAGACTCAGAGCTCCCAATCATAAACAGCCAATATGAAGCTATTTTAGCTGGCTCACTTCTACACAGCCCTCTTTGGGCAAATTTGGCTCCGTTTGTTTTTTTGCAATAGAACACCATTATTATTAGCCACATGGTACCATATCATTACGTAAATGAACTTAAGCACAGAGACATGCAATGGGTCATACCTTGCAGGCATTTCAAACCGTAGAATGTCTTGAATAATGGACAGCATGTATTTATTCATTTCTTTGGGAAGTTCCCCGATAGACAGCAGGATGTTTTTTACCTCCATGTAAGAGGGGTTGTTTTTTAAAATGACAGTAGCTGCAGTCGTGCGCACAGTCTTTTCATGGACTTTGCGATTCTGGTGGTATATCCTGTTCAAGGTCTTCTTCACCTGCTCATAAGATAGGCAAAATTAGTGGCACACCCAGACTTTTAAAACTGTTATTGTAGCAGGGACAGTGAGTAAATGCATGCATTACTACATTTCCCAGGTTCCTTCATCATTAGGATGGAGCTATACAACCAGTTCCAGCTAATAGGCCATGACACAATCAATATGAATCACTTCCAAGCTAAGGCAATGCCTTCTACATCTTTTCCTTCCATGACTGAAGTGAGCTGATAGCCACATATTGACCCATATCAGACATACCACGAGAAATAAACTTTTGTTAAACTTCTGAGATTTTGAGGTTCATTCGTTATGCAGCATAACTTGGTACCTCCTAATATAACTTTTATGAATACTACTGCCGCGTGGCAATGGGGATTTGGGGAGAGATGGCTGTATGAATGGATATTTCCTTACAGTGAAATATCTCAGAATCTTCTTTTTTTAAAATTATTAGGAGATATATATATATCTCCTAATAATATATATCCTAATAATATATATATATCCTAAAATATATATATATATATATATTAGAGTAGTATTAGGTTCACAGAAAATTTGAATAGGTAATAGAGTTTTAATATATCCCGCACTCCCATACATGCACAGTCTCCCACTCTATGCATATTTTGCAGCACAGTTGTTATAATTTGAATGTGGCTTGAATGTGTCACCCAAGACTTGTGTGCTAGAAGCTTGGACCCCATGAGGTTGTGTTGAGGTGGTGGAATTCTTGAGAAGCAGGGCTTAGTGGATGGCAATTAGGTATGGGAGATTCGACCTCAGGAGGAATTGATGCAGTTTTATAAGACTGGCTTAATTCCTCCAATAACAGGTTATTACAAGGGATCCTGGCACGTCCCCTGAATCTTTATTCCATATATGCCACTGACCACTCTTGCATGCACTTCTGCCATTGTGATGCTATTGGCCATAAGCTCTTAGCAGAGCTGAGAAGATGTCAGCACCATGTTCTTGAACCTTCAGAAATGTGAGCTAATTAAGTTTCTTTTCTTTATAAAACCCTTGACAGTTCTATGGGAAAACAAAAAAAAAGGAACGAAAAAAACAAGGGAAAACCGGTAAAATCAAAGAAACCGCCTGAAAAAACAATAACAAATAAAAGGGAAAATAAGGCCCTTTTTTTCCTAAATAATATTTAAATCAATGCAAATGTGTCATAATAGTTGCATTCCGTGTCAACAAGTAATTTTATTGGTTACAACATTGTCTATAAGAAGATATGGTATGTGAAGTTCTTTACTAGGCATTTATAAATGTTTCTTTCAATTCTGCTTTCCTCTGTCTTTTCCTATTTCCCTCAAACCATGGCCTTGCTCTCAGGCATCTGGAAGTTAAATAACTCATCCAAGAACAAACAACTAGGAAAGAATAGTGCCAGAATTTACACCTAGGTCGTCTTTCTCAAAAGCCTGTGCCCCTAACCATCATGCCTCATTGCCAACCATATTTCACACAAAACTGGGAAGGGTGCTTAGCTGCAAAATGGAAATATCATTCTCAGTGTTAGACACTACTCAAGTAAGTTTATATTAATGTTAGAAACATTCTCTGTCCAACAAAATTTTAAGTTAGGTGACTGCTAAAAATGTAGTTACATGAACAAAAGAGGCCGTGGTTAAGCCAGGATATTTTAGGGTTGAAAATTTTTACAACATCTTAAAATTTCTAAGAGGAAGTAAATTTCTGAAAATAATTTTTGTCTTAAAATAAGAGGGTATACTTCAATAGTTATGCTTCAGGATATAGGACATTATCTATTCAAAATGTGAGGCTGCTTCAGAATAGCCTTAAATGCAACTTTAGAGTTATTTCTAAGCAGAAGAGAAAAAAAAAAGGGGGGGTGAATAGAGTTACTTGAGAGGAGTTTGCATTTGACTCCTGTTCAGATGTGCTTTTCCCCTTCTGTTCACGTTGCAAATATTCTTGGAGGTCTCACCTCATCTGTTATGAAAGGGACATCATATCTCTGGAGAGTGGTCGTGGCGAGGTGGCTGATGGGCCCTTCTCCTGCCTCTGCGTACTTCAGAAGGAGCGGGATGCCTTCTGGAAGCAGGGCGTTCTTCAGGGCCAGCAGGTACATCATAGTGTCCTCCTTTTTCTCTGGTTTTTCAAGTCCTCCCAGGATTAACTTCTTGGCTTCAACTACTGCCTAAAAATGTCACACACTTTAGACATATTCATGACTGTACATAAAACAAAACTTGGGCAAGAAAACAACCTAAAATTTCCAAAAGGTTTGCACTGTTGGTGCCTGAGACATATCATGAAAGGAAGCAAGTTGAGCTTCATAAAGGTGTTGTGTGTGTGTGTATGTGTGTGTGTGTGTGTGTAATATATATATAATATATATATATATACACACACATATGTATGTATATATATACATATATATATAAAATATAGATAGATATCAAAACATTGTTAAGAAGCAATGAGTATATTTAATAATGGGCTGACTTAGTTTTGAATCTATTCTGAATGTAGAAAGCCATTTTAATTCCCTTGCAATTGATTATTTAAAAAACTTTCCATTTATTGAATTTCTAAAACAAAAATTAGATGGAGCCTGAATGTCACCACACACATTTTCTTAAGAAACAACTTGAGTGAAAGTGATTAGAGCTTGCTTGACACATAAGGCCTGCTTCTAAATGTTTTAGAAGTGTTTGTTCTCACCTGAAGCCCAAGTTAATTAATGCTGCTATACAATTCAAAAACATTCTTAAATGCCTTCCATGTGGCAAGGATTTTGTAGGTACTTCTCAAATATGTTCTGCAATTAGAAAAGGACTTTTTTTTTCCCCCCTGGCCTGGAGTGGGGGGGGGTGAACCACCTCTGAGGACAAGAAAGGCAAATTAGAAATGGAAGCATCTGAGTTCTGGTCTTATATTTGCCACTACATGTTTTCTGGGCTTTTGTTTCATCATAAAGATTCCTAACACCCAATTCATCTACAGGATTTATGAACTTTAAAATGAGGCCACAGGCACACACACACACACACACACACACACACACACACACACACAGACACACACACACAGGAGGAAGGGGAAGAAATCCCTAAACAGAAAGAGACATAATAGCTGGGGGTGTAGCTCAGTTGGTAGAGTGCTTGCCTCCCATGCACAAGGCCCTGGGTTCAATCCCCAGCATCACAAAAACAAAACAACAAAGAAAGAGATGTAATAAACTTCATACATACCTAGTTCAAGAAGTGACATTTTTCAAGTCTTAGATTTGTTTTAAAAATCATGCTTGATAATGTATTTTGTTTGTGAGGCTATGGGGAAATAGGCATTCTTGTGTATTGTTAGTGGAAGCATAATTCATATGAAGATAAATGGAATTGACAGAACTAACAAAATTCCATTTTGATTCACAGCTCTTGCCCTGGTGCTACACCCCCAACAATAAAACCAAGGTGCCTATAAAATTATTCATTTCATCATTAGGTGAATTTGCAAAAATAGTGGAAACCACTAGCATGATTGTATATAGGAGGCATTGAATAAACTATGGTCCAATGGCACAATAGAGTACTAAGCGGGGACAACAAAGGTCTCTGTTACCAGACCAGTATGGAGTGATTTCCACAATATATTGTTAAGTGGAAAAAGTAAGATACAGAAGAGGATATGTAGAATGGTATATTTTGTACAAGAAAAAAGAAATAGGAATGTGTGTGTATGTTTGTGTGTGTGGACTTCTGCTTGCTATTGTGAAAAGAAATATAGGAAGAAGATACCAAAAATTAATGATAATGCTTTGCTACAGGAGGTAGGTCACAATAGGTGGGAGGGGTATCCTTTTTAAGGATATTTTAAAAATAGTTTTGGCTTTTGAATAGTATTAACATTTTATATACTGAAGAAGTAAAATTAAGTCAACAAAGATGAAAAATTACTAAAATCCAATTCAAACATAAATGAACCTAAATGTATATCAAATTGATAATAGAACTCAACAGAGGAAGACAATAAAGAATTTATCCAAGCAACTGTTGAGCATAGGATTCAGACTGTGTACCTTCAATGGAAAATATCCTAAGGGGGGAAAAAACTGTAATGAAGTCTTGAACTGAACTTAAGTTTGTTTTTTGTAGTGACATTGGTGTAGCAGTTTCAAAACTATTTTGTGTGAATCTTGGAAATGGGCAGACGAACAAATAAATTTTGGGTTCTCAAAAACCCAGGATTCTTGTTCTGGGAGACAAAAGGTAAAATTATGGAATGGAGGAAGGAGAGAAAGAACCTTGGATGTTCAATTAGAATTAGAAATATAGGTATGAATTCATCCTTTAATAAGTTATACGTATCTTGTCCAACAGAAGAGCCTAGATGAAATGACACTCAAGTAATAGTAAGTAAAAATATTTTGGAGAACAATGTAAAATGTCGACAATGTACTCTCAGATGGTTCAATTAAAATAAAACAGAATGTGTTAACATAAATACCTCAATATTTCAAGAATTGGAAAATCTAAATGAAGAGGATATACATGTTCATAAAATTGTACTATTCTTAGAACTTTTCTATAAGTTGTTTTTTTCAAATACAATTTTTTTGGGAAAATGAAATTAGGCTGAAGGAAAGTAAAAATGTAAACAAACAAACAAACAAAAAATAGAAAAGACATCATGGGGTTTAGTCCTGATTGTGAACTTGTTTAGCTACCATTCATTTCTGATGCTGGGCAGAAAATTTCACGCTAATAAATACTGAGAAGCCATAGCACTGCATGGAATCACAGTATTTTAGGGTAGCATCAGTACTGCATGCCCAGCAAACACCTTAAATTTGTGTTAAGGATACATCATTTCCTTTCATATGTCTTTGATTTGGCCAAAAGGTAGATGAAAGTTCCATAGCAGAAAATTGAAAAGAAAATTTGAACATTAACTACAGTCCATTTGGTGGCCAAATCGAGTTATCTGAACAATGCTTAAAGTAAAGTGGCTCAAAAACATTAACAAGATTGAATGACAGTGGTAGAGGATAGTTTGCAGCTACTTACAAGGTGATTTTAAAAATGTGAAAAGAGCTAAGCTGTCCCATTATCAGAAGAACTTTGATCAGTAACTCAGTTTCCTTTTCATGCCACATGCCTTGGTAATCCCTTTTTTCTCCCAGGGTTTCAACCACCCTCTATCTCTAGCTCTAACTTCTCTCCTGTTCTGTGATTGTGACCGTCTGCCTGTTGAACAACTCAACCTGATGACCCAAAGGATTTAAAACTTAATATGGTGGGAAAATAAAATTAATAGCTCCACCTTACCCTCACTACTAAATTAGGCTCTGGAAACCTTGATTAAGTGGTAGGCATTGCCATACTCTGGTATTCTAACCTGGAAGCTTTGGAGTCACCTAGATTCTGACCTCTGTCTCATTCCCTGCATCTCATCAATCACTAAACACTATTGAATCTACTTCCTAAATGGCTCTTGAATCTGTCTCCTCTCACTCCTTTGACCCTACATTAATTTAAAACTATTAATTCTTGCCAAAATTATTGCAAAATGTTTCTAGTCAGATCTTACTGACTAATCCAGCCAATACTCAATTCATATATCACCTGGCTTCTTCCAAAATAAAATTTTAAAAATGAAAGTGTGTCATTCACCCACCTAAAAACTTCACCAGACCTCCTTGTTGGATAGAATGGAGATGAGGCTCCTTAGCTCCTTATTCATAAAGATCTGTTTACTTTTCTTCTCACTTCCCCTCTTTCTGATATCTTCACCCCCACCTACTAGTGGGCAGGCATATATATTTTATGTTTCAGGGCCACAAAATTTCTCGCTGTTCCCAAGCATACTGGGTCCACTTCAGGACTTTTCATACAGAATGATGCTACTTGTAGAATGTCCTTTATTCCATATTATGATTTCTTCACCTAAAAACTTCTTCTAGACCAAGCTCAAATACTATTTTGGTGAAATTGTTCCCTAACACCCTCAAACAGCAAAGGTCACTGTGGCTTCTGTGTTCTCACTGTCACTTTGTTTGTTTTAATATTACAGTAGCCCCTCAGTATGCATGAGAGATTGATTATAGGACACCCTGGGGATAATAAAACATACAAATTCTTGTAAAGAATGGTAAATATGGTATTTTCATATAACCTGCACACATATACCTGTGTACTTTAAATCATCTCTAGATTTAAAAAAAAAATAATTTGAAGGTTGATTTGTTTATTTTTGTGGTGCTAGGGAGAGAACATAGGGTCCCATGCATGCTAGGCAAGTCCTCTACTGCTGAGCCACGCCCCCAACCACTAAATCATCTCTGGATTACCTATAATACCTAATATAATGTAAATGTTACACTTTTTAGAGAATGATAACATGAAGGAATAGTCTGTTGATGACAAATCAGATGTGATTTTTTTTCCCCCAAATAGTTCAATCCATGATTGGTTGAATCCTGAATGGGGGACACACAGATACAGAGGGCCAACTGCACTTGCCTGTTTGCATTTGATAAATAGACAAGGAGTTCTTTGAGGATGGTAGAATGTTTTATATATCTTTATATTAAAGGATTAGCATTATGCCTATTACAGAGTAGATGCTCATTAAATACAGTTAACTGTTGTTTTTCTCTGTGGATTTTGTATTTTTGCCAAGATATTTAATAAATGAATTTCTGAAGCAATAAGCTACTCAAGTAACTGTGGAAACTAAAAAACATAAAAATTCATAGTTCTGTACTGTCATACAATAATACCAATTTTGATTTCTGCCAGAACTGATATTCAAATATTTTCAGTGACCATCTTTTTAGTTATCTTCTTTATACTTTGTGTACTATCTATTTAGGAGTTGCTTCTTATGAAATTATTTGGTTTCAAAAACATTCTCAAAAATGCAAATCAAAACTACTCTAAGATTTCATCTCACTCCAGTCAGAATGGCAGTTATCAAGAATATAAGCAATAACAAGTATTAGCAGGGAAGTGGGGGGAAAAGCACATTCACCCATTGCTGGTGGGACTGCAAATTGGTGCAACCACTATTGAAAGTGGTATGGAGATACTTCAGAAAACTTAGAATGAACCCACTATTTGACCCAGCTATCCCACTCCCAATTTATAACCAAAGAACTTAAAATCAGCACACTACAGTGATGCAGCCACATCGATG